AGTTAAATTGAGATCATCCTCTGGACTTGTGTCTTGAATTCTTTCCTGCACAAAGTCAAGAACCCACACATTCCAAGATGTGCCAGGACAGACCCACCTCAGCCCCATCCCTTTCCAGTGACAAGTAGACCTGCACTACACAAAATGCTAAATGAAGATTTTAGGATGAACACCATGGAAACACGGATCTTATGAAAGAAGAAAAATCAGTGGAAATACAAATGTAAAGGATTGTTATTTCCCCTTAATTCTGTGATATTATACACTCTCAAAAATTATACATCACTTCCCTAACCGGTTTGGCTCAGTGGTAGAGCATTGGGCTGTGGACTAAAGGTTCCCAGGTTCGATTCTGGCCAAGGACACATAAAAAAAATTATGCATTATTTGTGAGGTTTATAAACTATATCCATGTTAATCCAATAGCAACAAGAATGGTGGGGTGGGGAGCAGGGGACAGGGTTGAATGGGAGGTGTTGAATGTTGTTGCAAATCTCAAAAATTTTAAAGATTTTTAAAAACATTTTTTATTGATTTTTTTAAAGAGAGAGGAAGGGAGAGGGAGAGCGAGAAAAACATCGATGTGAGAGCAAAACATTGATTGGCTGTCTCCTGCACACCCTCTACTGGGGATTGAGCCCGAAACGTGGGCATGTGCCCTGATCAGGATTTGAACCAGCAACCTTTCCGTGCATAGGCCGACGCCCAACCAACTGAGCTACACCGCCCAGGGCTTAAAGATTTTTTTAAATTTATTTTTTAATTGATTTTAGTTAGAAAGGGAGAGAGAGGGAGGGAGAGAAACATTGATTTGTTACTCCACCCATTCATGTATTCATTGGTTGATTCTTATATGTGCCCTGACTGGAGATCAAGCCTGAAACCTTGGTGTGTCAGGACGATGCTCTAATCAACTAAGCTACCCGGCCAGAGCCAAAATTTTTTATTAATGTAACACTATTAATTCAGCAATACCATTCAGTAATGAAAAGGAATAAAGTATTGATGTACATGACAACATGAATGAATTTCCAAATGATTGTCTTGAGTGAAAGAAGCCAGGCAGAAAAGAACATACTATCTGATTCCATTTATAGGATTCTAGAAAGTACAAAGTAATCTCTAACATTAGAGAGCAGAAAGTAGTTGCCTGGGGTGAGAATGATAGGGCAGAAGAGGCAAAAGAAAACTGTTGTGATGTTGACATGGTCATTATCTTGATGGTGGTCAAATTTTCACAAATGAATACATATGTCAAATTTTATCACAGTTTATTCCTTAATTATGTTGTTTATTGTGTCAATTATACCTCTAAATCAATTATTAGAACTTTAAATAGACAGACTGTAAACAGTTAAAAGTATGTAATGCAATTCTTATAGGAACTGCTAAAAAATAATCCAAACGTGTAGGCAAAAAGCCAACATGGAATTAAAATGCAATTCTAAAAAATAATAAAAAAAATATTTTGTTAATGCTAAAGTCTGCAGGAAAGGAGCAACAAGAAAAAGAACAGACTGGAGAAACAGGAACTGCATGATTTAATTTATTTCTGGATCTACTTCAGTCCTATCAGTAATCGCATTAATTCCAAATCAGTATAATTCAAAAGTAGAAAGGTTAGAATGAATGAAGAAACAAGACCCAACTGTATAATGTCTTTTAGAGATGCCGTTCAAAAGCCAGACAGATATATTGAAAGTCATGGCTGGGGAAAAAAATAACATCCAAATAGTAAGCTTAAAAAAAGTTATGCAACTATCTTTTTTTTTTTTTTTTTTAATGTTTTTATTGGTTTCAGAGAGAGAGGGAGAGAGAGAGAAGCATCGATCGACTGCCTCCTGCACCATCCCTGCTGGGGATTGAGCCCATAGCCCGGTCATGTGCCCTGACCAGGAACTGAACCAGTGACCTCCTGGTGCATGGGACATCGCTCAATCAACTGAGCCACACCAGCAGGCTGCAGCTATCTTAATATCAGATGGAGTTGATGTAGGACAAAGAATATTGCCAGAGATAGAGACCTTTTGTAGTGTTAAAGGATTAACTTATCAAGAAGTCAAAATAATTATCAATGTGTGTATACTTAGTAATAGAACTTCAAAATACATGAAGCAAAAATCTACAGGATTCAATGGGAATTATAACAAACCTTCCTCAGTAATTGATAAAAACAATTAGATGAATACTACTTGGTAAAGTCATAATCTGAATACTATCAACCACCTTGACTTAACTGTCATTCAAAGAAAAGGCTCAACATCTATTGAAGACTGATTCCATATTGGAAAAAAAATAATCACCTCTTGGGATGGTGTTGCAGATTAGGATTACCTAGGAGAGGTCATGAGGGGATGTTCTGTGGTCGTGCTATGTTCTATGACCTAGATAGAGGATTTGGGTACACACATGTATGAATTAATAAACTCATTGATGATACACTTAAGAAATATTCATTTCTCTGTGGCTGTTCATTGTATGAGTCTGTAAATTTTACTGAGTGTGTAAAAATTTTCATAATAAAATGATGAGGGAAAGAATTGATGAGAGCCTGGCCAGCATGGCTCAGCGGTTGAGCATCGACCTATGATCCAGGAAATCAAGATTTGATTCCCGGGCACATGCCTGGGTTGTGGTTTCGATCCCCAGGAGGGGGCGTGCAGAAGGCAGCTGATCAATGACTCTCTCATCATTGATGTTTCTCTCTCTCTCTCTCCCTCCCTCTCTCTGAATCAATAAAACTATGTTAAAACAATAACAAAAAAGAATTGATAAGAGACAGAGCCAGTAAGCACAGGAAGGAATAGCACCGTGAGAGTGAGAAAGGAGACTGCATCAGAGGAGGCCCAGCCTGGGAAAGGAAGGACTGAGGGACACACATGAGCTTAGCTGTCATTAAACACTCGAAAGGCTTTTCTGTGGAAGGCGGCTGCATTTTATCTTGTTTAGATACAGTCGGTTGTACTACACTCAACAGTGTTTTTATTCTGACTTTTTAACTTTTTATTTTAAAACACTCTCAAAATTACAGAAAAGTTGCAAAAACAATACAGAAATTTTTCTGAACCATTTGAAAAACAGGTGCTAATGTGAAGAGCATTCCTGAACACTTTAGTGTGTACTCTCTACAAGCAAGAATATCTTCAGCAATAACATGAACAACCTTCAAATCAGAACGTTAACATAGATAATTTACCACCGGTTCTCAAATTCCATTCAAATTTCTTCAATTCTTATGTCATTTATAGCTCAGAAATTGTGACCATATCATCACTATTCTGGGACTTGGGTATTTAGCAGGACACTGACAGGTTCCATTAGGGACCAGCTTATAAGGCACTTTTCCTTTTTTTTAAATAGCACATAAAATGTACCATCTTAACTATTTTTTATTGCATAGTTAAGTAGTGTTAACTATGTTCATGTTGTTGTGCAACCAATCTTGAGATCTTTAATTTTGCAAAACTGAAACTCTATCCATTAAACAATAACTTTCAATTCCCTCCTTTCAGCCCAGCCCCTGGCAACCACCATTCTACATCTTGACTCTATTAATTTGATTACTCCAGGAACCTCACATAAGTGGAATCATACAGTATTTGTTTTTGTTGGGGTTGGCTTATTTCATTTAGCATAATGTCCCTGAGCTTCATCCATGTTGTAGCATGTATCAGAATTTCCTTCCTTTTTAAAGCTAATATTCCACTATATGTGCAGGCCATATTTTGTTTATCTGCTACTCATTAATATCCACTTAAGTCACTTCTACCTTTTGGCTACTGGGAATAATGCTGCTATGAGTATGTGTATGCAAATATCTCTTTGAGTCCATGTTTTCAATTCTTTTGTTTAAATTCCTAGAAGTGGAATTGCTGGATCACTTGGTAACCTTATTTTTAGTTTTGTAAGAAACCACCCTGCTGTTTTCCATAGGAGCTGCATCCTTTTATATTCCCATGAACAGTGCACAAGTCTTCTAATTTCTCTACATCCTTGCCAACATTTATTTTTTTCTTTCCTTTTTTTTTTGCCTTATTTGGTAGTAGCCACCCTAATAAGTGTGAGATGGTATTTCATTGTGGTTTTGTTTACATTGGAGGTCTTTCTAGACATTGATTTCCAGTGTATTTTCATTGAGATCAGAGAGTATATATGATATAATTTCACTTCTTTTAAGTTTATTTGGATTCGCAAAGTACCATGTTCACCAGAAAAGGATGTGCCTTCTGGAGATGTTGCACATCTGTTATATGAATGTCAATTAAGTGTCCAAATCTCTTATGACTTTACTGTTTTTGCCAGATCATTCCATCAGTAGCTGAGAAAAGGGTGTTATAAATTCATTTTAATTCTTTCCATTTTTGCTTCGTGTGTTTTGAAGCTTTATTGTTGGGCACATATACATTTATAATTATTAGGACTCTCTGGTGAATTAACCCTTTTAACACACAAAAGGTCCCTCTGTACCTGTGGTAATGCTCTTTGTCTTAAACCAACTTCATCTGATACTAAGAGAGCCACAGCAGTTTTCTTAGGCTTACTATTTGTATGGTATATCTTTTTCCCAGCCCTTTGTGTTCAGTATATCTGTGTCTTGCTTTTAAATGGCATCTCTAACAGACAGTATGTAATTGGGTCTTGTTCTACATCCATACTAAGCATTTTTACCATTAAATTGAAGTGTTTTGGGGATTTACTGATATAGTTGAAGTGGTTCTTACAATTTTATGATTAATTTTGTTTGCACATGTGGAATAAATATATTTTGTTTTAGTATAAGAGAAAAGAATACCAGAAACGTTTTCAAGTGAAACTTACTTGCTAGTCAGTCCCAAAGGCTAAAGGGCAAACATGAAACAGAAGAATCAGAGTGTAGAGCTGGAAGAAAGGTCCCAGCTCTTTTTGCTTTTGGCAGCTGGGATGAAGAGAACTTGAGAGGGATCCTGGGAGGGAGGAGAGTCAGGAAGCCACTGATGCCCGTCCCTGCTTTGTCCCCACAGGTGCTAGCTGCCTCACTCACAACCACAAGACTGAACAGGGTTCACCAGCAACTAGCTGCCCCACAGCGATGGAATGCCACACTCTCAGAGAAGTGTCCTCCAGGTACATTCTAATAGTGATCTCCAACCCTTACCCCACTTGTCTCCATGTCCTCCCAGCCCTATGATTTCCAAAGTTCCTGGTTCTTAATCCACAGGTATTTATTTATTTATTAGATGCCTTCTGTGTTCCAGGCACTGTGCTAGTGGAGGGCACGAGGCCCCTGCCCTTCTGGAGCTCTCCTTCTGAGATGATGTCTAGACAGACAGATGAATGTGACAGAGAGATGAGATAGGAACCATGATGATAACTGAGTGATGATGGATGGGACAGAGACTGGGTTGGTGAGGCGTCCCCAGGATGGTGACTTTGATGCAGAGAGCCACTGTCTTTGGTGTAGAGAGCCAGGTACAGTGGTCCTGAGAGGGTTCCCCAGGAACTATGGCCCCAGGGGGCAGGAGCTGAGCTTGTTTGAGCAAAGCTAGGGGGCAGCTGGGATGAATACAGGGTGAAGTGGTCACAAGGGCAGGTGGGAACAGATCACAAACCCTGGACACTCTGGAGGGGGGCATAGGTTTCACTTTTTGAGTGAGGTATTCAAGGAACTAAAATATCTCAATGTTTTATATTGATTACATGTTGAAATGATACTATGTTGGGTATTTTAGGTTAAAAAATACATAGTTAAAATTAATTGGACCTCTTTTCACCCTTTTAACGTGGCAACTATGAATTTGAATTTTATGTGTAATACATTTCTTTTGGCAGTGCTGGTCTAAGGTATATGAGTGGATTTCCGTTTGGATTCCACCGGTGGTCCCTTAGCTACCACTGCCAGCCTCCAGGAGTCCTGTGGGCATTCACTCACCAGCTTTTCTCTCCATTCCCAGGGTTCTATCTATCAAAACACAGTGGAGATTGTACAAGACGCACAGATAATGAGGATTTTACCGATCACTCGAACACCCTCCCTTCTTGCCACCTCTGCTCTATATGCCCTCCAGGTGAAGAACATGTGGAGTCCTTGCCTACATTAGGGTGCTGGACAATGAGATGATTATTGTATCAGACGGGGAGTCAGAAACCTGATTGCCAGCCCAGCGTGGTCTTCATCATACCCCTTTTCACGATATGACTTAAGTCAATAAAATAAGATGAAAACAGAAATTATTTTTATAATGCATGCCACACAGTAGGGACATCTTTTAAACCATCAGATGAAAGTGGTGGGAAAATAACCTGCTCTTGATGGGGGGACTCTATGGCCACAGCATGGAAGATGTGGCTGAGTAGAAACGTGCTGGTTTGGAGCTGGGATGTGGGTCTTGTCCTGGGCCTGACCCCTCTCAGCCCTGTGCCTCCTGGCAAGTGCTCCGCCTTCCTTGGTCTTCACAGTCTAAGGCCCCTCCTCAGGGTTAGGTTTGCAGAAAGTCACTCAAGGGTTCCTCTCCACCCAGGGACTCTCAGATTATACCCCGCCCTTCCTAATCATCCTGTAAGCCAATAGATATTTCCTCTGAAACCTGATGTAATAAGTAGTAAATCGTGGTGTTTTCTGTACACCTGGTTACTAGGGACAGGTGAGCAGTGGTTGCCCTTTTTGCGCCTCACACATACTGCTGCAGAAACCAACCCTCAAATCTATGGCGAACTGAGTGAAGCTGAGTGGGAGGGGGTTTGGGTGGTGAAAAAGGGTTGAGGGACCCATGAGGGAAACATCTCCTCAAAACCTTATCCTTTGTCTTCAGATAAAGAAGAAATAGCTCCATGCACCGGGACGAGGAACACCCAGTGTCGATGTAAACCTGGCACTTACCAGGATGAAGATTCTACTGAGTTCTGCCAAAAGTGCAGCCCTAGGTAAGACATGAGTGCCAGGGGGCCCCCAACCACAGAAGCCCCAAGTCTCCTGCACCCCTTTCTCTCTCCTGCTTCCATGCAGCCTGGCCACACCCTCAGGGCTTCCTTGGGCCTGTGGGGTCTTCTGAGCCGGCAGTGGCCCTTTCTTGTCCACTTGCATGTCCTCACGCTGCCCCTTGCAGTGTCCTCTCCCCACCCTCCTCAGTTCCGTTTCCCTCTGGCTGGGCTGACCTTTCTACTGGGCACAGTAGGCTGCTAGGTAGGGCCCATGAGCCTGTCAGTGGCCCATGCAAAGTTTTAGGGTTTTTTTAATATCAGAAGGAAAGAATTGTGTAGAATGCAGCCATGCTTATAATCATCTTTTTTTTTTTTTTTTTAAAATATATCTTTATTGATTTCAGAGAGAGGAAAGGAGAGAGAGAGACAGACAGACAGAAACATCAATGATGAGACGGTCACTGGGGATCGAGCCCGCAACCCGGGCATGTGCCTTGACTGGGAATCGAACCCCGATCGCCTGGATCCTAGGTCGACTCTCAACTGCTGAGCCACGCCCGGCCAGGCTATAATCATCTTTTTAACAATTCAATCATAAAATGTTCTTTTTAATATTTTTTGGTGCAGGCATGGGCCCTTGAACACCTAAATGTCCACAGCCAGGTCATAGCGAGACAGAGCCTGTAGGTCCTTCAGGGTTCCCCAAACCCCTGAGCCAGCTCAACCTGTCTTCCCCCAGGGCCCTGATCCCTCAATAAGACTGTGTTTTCCCTCTTATTGGGATTTAGGGACCAGTAGTAATTTGCTCTTCTTTGACCTCCAGTGTGGCTGTGATTGGTGGGGACAGTCAACAGGTAGAGGACAGGAGAGTCCTTGTATTGAAGGTTAACCAGAGGGTGAGGCTCAGCTTATGCCCAAAGGGCTCTGACCCTTGCTCTGGAGTGAGATACTTCCTCACTCGGCTCCCCCGCAGCCCAGGGAGGCTCAGCGTGGGCCTTACAGAGGAGGCCCAGCTCCTGAGGGTGCAGCTCTGAACACTTAGCAGGAGCTCTTCGGGCACCAGTGTCAAGCCCAGCTCCCTCCCTAATCCTGCAAGAGGGTGAGGGGACCCATCACACAGACGGGAGAAGGCTGGTTTTTTTCCACCCTCTGGTCAGGGGACACTAGGTGGGAGGTTTGCTCCCTCTTTCTCTTCTTACCTCACAGAACCCTTTCACATTTCCCCTGTGTCTGAACCTAGGTGCCCTGATGGCAAGGTTGAGGCCAAGTCCTGTACGCCCTGGAACGACCTCAAGTGTGTGGACCAAGAATCAGGTACCCAGGCCCATGGGGACGCCCCGGATCCTGGACAGCTGGTGACCACCAGTCTTCCCACAGCTCTCTCTCCCTCCTCAGGCACTCCAGAGTGGGTGATCCTCGCATTTGTAGTCATAGTTGTGATTGTCCTGGTGTTCGGGCTGGCTGTATTTGTATATTGTCGTCTCAGGAGCTGTATCCTTCAAGGTGAGGCTGGCAGGGGCGATGGGCAGGCGCTGGCACTCTCCGCTGCCTCCCTCACTTCCCGCTTTGTTTCTTCAGACAGAAAGGTCCTTCTCTCTGCCTCCCAAATCCTCTGAGTCTTTCTGGCCTGGCTCTGATCTTGTTCCCTGGGATCACCCCTCCATCTCCCACCTCACCTGCACCTTTGGAGGGCCAGGATCATATTAGTCCCCCTGTCTTGGGGCTGATGGTTGCATCCTCTCCCTGGCCAAGCCTGGGAGGGCAAGCCAGTTCTTCATGTCTTCAGGGCCCCCAGCCAAGGCAGAGACGTAGTCAGTGCCTCAACTGGGTGACAAGAGTCAGGAGAAGGTCAAGGTAGTGTTGTTTTTTTAACAGCTTTGGTCAGAACAGAACCCAACAGAGATTTGATAAGTGTTTCTTTTTACTTCTTTCCCTCTTTTCTTCCCCTTTCTGAGGGCGTCCCAGAGTTGGATTGCCATACCCTGTCACCATACCCAAGGCATCTTGTTCAGTGTCTGTGCCCCAGCCCATACGCTGTGCCCAGCACTGTCCTTGTGGGGGGAGATCCTGCAGAGAGGCCCTCCTCACTGCTAAGCCAGACACCCCTTCTCTTCTAGGTTCTGGAGCGGCCACCATGTGCAGGAACAGAGTGAGTTGGTTTCTCCAGGACCTGGTGGCATAATGCCCTCAGGAACTGCTTCCTGCCCATAATAAGGCCCTGGGTGGGCATGGTCCCATTTTGTCCTGTGCTGCTTTCCCTGGCTCTCTGAAATGGCCTGGGCCCTTGGGCTGACTAAGAGAACAGCTGGCCTGCTGAGTAGCCCAAAGGCTGGGTACCGGTCCTGAGCCCTATCCTTCCTGCTGCTTGTGACACCCACACCTACAGCTGTGGATTCTGGGCTGTGGGAGTGTCAGGCAGGTGTGCTGAACCCCCTTAGCACAGCATCAGGGTCCTGGTGCCAATAGCAAAGTCCTGGATGTGCTGAGCCTGTGCCAGCCTGAGGAGAGGGATAGCCGTGGGAGGGGTGGAGCAGTGGAACTTACCGTGCTCCCTGAGACTCTTTAGGGAGCCTAGGTGTGGACTCCTGAGTCAGCTCTTTGCCTTCCCAAGGTCTTTTTTTGGTGCTCACATGCCCCAAGAGGGCCTGAGGCTCTGGACAATGCCTGCAACATGGCCCTGAGCAACGGAGATTTGCTACCTACACTGGCCTCTGAACAGGAACTGGAACACCAGGAGCATGCAGAGCTGGCAGGTGTCATGGTAGAGTCCCCAGGAGAAACAGAGCATCTGCTGGTGAGTGGGTGACAGCCAGGCCTGGCCCTGGCCTTTCTGATTGTTAGAAACAGGGAAAGGCCAGTGCTGGTCAGGTTTGCTGTCCGGGGGAAGCGGTGGTAAAGGGAGATCAGGACCTGAAGGGGAAGGGGCTGCACATGCAGGGAGCTGTCAGCTCTATGGACTGTCTGGGTCTTCTTATCCGTCCAGTTGTCACTCTATCTTAGAGTCTGAAATAGGCAAGCACAGAATGGGCATCCCCGTCTTTGTTGAATGATTGAATGAGGGCTGCAAGTAGTCTACTGTGTAGTTGTAAAATAATTTAGTAAGCTGTTCCTCGTAACAATAGGAACATCAGTTTTTTATTACAAAATTATTATTACATTGAACCTATATGAAAATAAATCTGAGCCTAGATATCTAATCGCATGTGTATGGTGGCATTTAGAAGTAGAATTTCTGGGTAAACTTGTAGGAATGTTTTTTAACTGTATGCGCATATATGCGTGCATACAATTTTGGTTCGTATGTCAGTTCATCAGTTTTAATATGACATTGAATGGTAAATATGTAGGAACATTTAAATTTTTTATTCCTCATAAGCTTAGAAAGTCATTCCCCTTAACATAAGATGAAATTCACTAATTTGTTAGTTTTAAAATTTTATGATGATTTTTGGCATATAGCAATGTTATCCAAATGGAATTGATTTTGTGACATGATGTGACATGAGTGTCTGAATTGTTCTGAGTCACTGTCTCTTTCCTCCAACCCCATTTCACAACTGATTCGTTTCCCTCTGCTTTTGGCTGCTCCTTTATCTAATGTGAAATGTTTAGGAAGACACAGATCTCTTTCCACCTTGAATGTCCTTTTCTGTATCTACAGTATGCTTTATTTAATTATTTATTTTAGTACTCACCCAAGGATATTTTTCCTCATTGATTTTTCCAGAGAGTGTGGAGTGGAGGGAAGAGGGAGAGAGAGAGAAACATCGATGTGAGAGAGACACATCGATTGGTTTCTTCCCGCACTCGCCTGACTGGGGTCGAGCCTACAGCCGAGGTACATGCCCTTAACCGGGAATCGAACCCGGGACCCTTTGGTCTGTAGGCCAGTGCTCTAACCACTTAGCCAAACCAGTGAGGCCTACAGTATGCTCTTTTTAAATAAAGAGAAAGTATAAAAGGAAACAAACCAACCAAAAAGGCCAATAATCCCTCAATCTTGATTAATCACATTTCACATTTTTTGAAGTAGTACCTACCCACAGTGAGAAAAAGTGAATAGTACAGAAAGATTCTGTACTCGGGGAGTAGTGGGAGCCTCCTGCAGTCTTCCTCCAGCCCCCTCACCCTTTTCATTTCATTGAGAGGCCATTCTTCGTGATTCTTTGCTGAAATCTTTGTGCATATGTCATCCATGTACGATACTCTACCAAATGAAACTTTTTAATATGTCTCAATATCTGAGAGTGCACATACCTCCTCCTCACCTTGCCAAAATTTATTATTTCTACCCAGATAGAATTTAGAATTATTTTTAAAGATTTTTCTCTCCCCTCCCCCCTTCCACAAAAGTCATTGGAACTTCTTTTTATATTACCTTACATTAGTCCAGGAAGAATTGAGATCTTACAATATTCAATATTTTTCTTATCAAAGAAGATAGCATTTCAGGTCAGGGGTTTTATTATGACTCAATTAAGGTTTGTGTTTTTCTTCAGATTAATGATTCCTATTTCTAGTAAAAGCTGTGTCTTTGTTTTTTATGGGTTTTGTTACCCTTACTGGTTGGATTTCATTGCAGTTCTGTTTTCTAATGTATTGTTTTTAGTGTGTTTATTAACATTCATCAAGACATGCATTATTTTTGAGTAATGTAGTTTAAACCATAGGGTCTTAAAGATATTTAATCACGTCTAAAATAATGATTATTTCTGCCCCCTTCCACCAGTCCTGCCTCCTTTTTTGTTTCCAGAACTTACAGTGTTCAGAGGTGCTTAGAGAAGGCACTTGTTCTGATCTTGATTTGATTTCATTGGGAGGGCCTTCAGTGCTTCCCCCTAAGGAATGATGTGGACTCCTATTTTCATAGAGAAAATCTTATCATTATCAATGCAGCCCCCTATTTTTGAGGTTTGTTTTGAAAGATCAGAATTCATGTTTAATTTTACAAAATGCCTTTTCAGTCTCCATGGAGACAATCTAATAGTTTCACTTCCTTATTTTAGATTATTGATATGGTACATTATTACTGATCGCGAAGCACCTTCAGATTCATGAAAGAAGCCTTACTTAGATTTTGCAAAGTGCCCTCATATATATTCCTTGAGTCATATACACACCTGGGAGGGAGTGACTGTTTCCTGGTGGGGTGTGTAGACTAGAAGGGGCAGGAGGCGGCTGTGCTGAGTGGTGAGAATTGTTCCATGTCTTGATTGGATGATGGTTGCTCAGGTGTATACAGTTTTCAGAGCTGGAACAAACACTTAAGGAGCATATTACCCCAGGGAACATGGGCCTCCTTGAGCACACAAGCACACAGTCTGTGAGAGGCATAGCAAGGAGGTTCCTCTTTGTCTCTATAGAGACCAGGAGGGAAGGTGGCTGCCCCTGGTCACAGTTGGCTGATTGTCAGGCTCACTTATGGAATCCAGGACTCCTGATGAACCAAGGGGGTTTTCCGCTCTATTTTACAGAGACCAGCAGGCACGGATGGGTCTCAGATGAGAAGGGGCCTACTGGTTCCAGCAAATGACGAAGATCCCGTAGAAAGTGAGTGATTTGTTGGGGGATGTGGAGCAGTGTCCTAACTGCTGTCCCATAGCTGTTAGGGCAGTACAGAGCCAGGGATGCAGGAAACAGGGGAGCCTATGTTGATTGTCTCTGGACCATCAGTTTTCAGGACACTAAAGCCCCNGGATGCTGGAAACAGGGGGGCCTATGTTGATTGTCTCTGGACCATCAGTTTTCAGGACACTAAAGCCCCTCCCCCACCTTTCTCCCTCCACTGCCTTCCTCCCACTGCACACCATCCCATCCCATCACGAGTGTTCTGTATCTCCCTGTCCTTCCCTCCACCGCCTTCCCCCTTCCCTTGTTCAGGGCAAGGTTCACCACAGTGAGGGCACCTAAGGGGCTAGTGCTGTCCAGCAGGGCACCACTAGCCCCAGGAGACTTATGAGCTCCTGACCTGTAGCTAGGCCAAATTTAAAGAGCTGTAATTATAAACTACAGATCAGATTTCAAATATTAGTAGGAATATAAAATATCCCACTGAAAATTTGTTACTGATTGCATGTAAATATAATAACATGCAAATGTAAATGTATGTACTGAGTTAGTACCAGATAGTATTAAAGTTAATATCACCTGTTCCTTTTTATTTTCTTCAGTTCAGCTGTTAGAAAAATATAAATAAGTATTCCTGGCTCACCTTATATTTCTGTGGGTTGGTGGTATGCAGTGTATTCCACACACATCACATTTAATCCTCAGTACAGTCTCATGAAATGGGTGGAATTTGCCCTGTCTTACGGGTTAAATTCTTGCCCAGAGTCTGTTGGTCTCCGTCTCACTCTGCCAGTTTGGTGGGTGAAGCCGAGCTGGGTGTGAAGCCAGAGATTGTCCCCCCTCCAGGCACTGGTGCAGATGTGGCAGCCCCCCTGGACCTTACTCAGGATAAGTGCAGGTTCCCTCCTCTGAGGGCCTGTTGCACCACAGTCTGTCCCACCCTCTGTCTCCTATCACATAGCGCTCTCCCTTCCCTTGATCTCCATCTCCCCTCCCAGGTGGGCTATTGGCCTCCCCTTAGGGCAAAATTCTGTTGACTTTGAATTCAGAAAGTGCCATGAGAGTAGGTGAGGCCCAGACCGTTTGGCCTGATTCTCTGCCAATGGGAAGCAGGTAAGGGACGCAGAGATCAGGTAACCAGCAGGGGGCACCCGTACCTCGCCTAATTGTCTCTGGCTTTCCCCCATCTAGGCCTGAGGCACTTCTTCGATGACTTCTCAAACATGATTCCCTTTAATTCCTGGAACCCACTCATGAGGTCGATGGGCCTCACGGACAATGATATCTGTGTGGCCAGAGCACGAACCATGGACCAGAAGGAAGCCTTGTATGAAATGCTGATGACCTGGGTCAACACCAGGGGGCGAGATGCCTCAGTCAACACCCTGCTGGATGCCTTGGAAAGACTGGGGAACAGAAATGCAAAGGAGAGGATTTGCGACCACCTGGTGAAATCTGGAAAGTATGTCTATGAAGTAGGTGAGGCAGCTTCTGTGGTTTCCTAGTGAAAAGACTCTCTTTAGGAGACCAGAGCTTTCCTAGCTTACCTTTTCTCCTCAAAAGGGGTGTAAAACTGCACACTACCCTGGACGAAGCTACCAGTACTGGAACAGTATTTGAAGTTCTGTAATCCAAAAGCGTACAGCTCTTGAGATGTCCTACAACTTTTTCAATGTTTGTTGTTTTCTATGGATATTTATATGTTTATGTGAACTGAAAGTTATTTTAGTTGTGGTATTTTTTCATTTTTAATAGACCTGCACTTTTTTTGTTGCCGTATTGTAAAACCAATGTTGCTGTATGCCCATTTATTTATGACTAACTGTGATATGCATCTGTGAAAGCTTATTCTTGTATTATTATTTATTAATTGTATTACTTTCCATACTCACAACTCAGCTATGGATATGGGTGATGAGGGTGGGAGGCACACCAGATACATTCTGTCATATGCCATTTCAGGTCATATTAGTGACCTTCAGCCCCATCAATCAGGTTTCAGCTTAGTTGTCTCTGTTAGTGAACTTAAGTGTCCATCTAAAGTAGGGGTGGGGAACCTTTTTTCTTCCAAGGGCCATTTGGATATTTATAACATCATTCTCAGGTCATACAAAATTATCGGACTTAAAATATTAGCCTGCTATATTTGGTCAAACACTTAGTTGAATTTATTGAATTTCGAGTCCTGCCTGCAGTTGCCTTGGCAGGGCCTTTTTGTTTTATATCACGTCCAAATAGCACTTGGCACATAAGAGGTACTTACTGTTTCATTAGTGGTTAGATATTTTTCCATGCTTCTCTCCAGTGGAAGATGCCACCTTCGAAGGAAATATCAAACAATGCAAAGACCACTGTTTACAAAATACTCATGTATTTATGAATTCATGACCAAATCAAATATGAAACCTTATATAAAAAGTGTGGGTTGTGCCTGGCTGGCGTGGCTCAGCTGTTGAGCATCAACCTATGATCCAGGAGATCCCAGTTTGATTCCCAGTTCTCGGACTCAACCCCCAGTAGGGGGCGTGCAGGAGGCAGCTCATCAATGACTCATCATTGATGTTTCTCTCTCTCTGAAATAAATTAAAGACATTTAAAAAAAAAAAGTGTGGGTTTTCTTCCCTCCGCACCCTCCTATTCTCTTCTGGAACAGCTCTGAGTGACGTGAGGAGTACAGGGCTGTGTATTGCTGTGGGACTCGCTCCTTTCTCCCATGATACCTTCAGACTTGCCCCACATGGCCCGGTTTCCTGCTCTAACTGGATTTCCAAGTGTCAGGGCCATGAGGGACTGGAATTATAGCCTCTCCATGCCCTTCTCCCTGGGAGACAGACCCCAGTCCTGGCCTGGCTCCCCCACAGCTTCCCAGGTGGTGTCTGTGGGTTACACCTGGGACTACTGGGCTCCCCCATGGTGCAGACCATCTCTGACAGAGCAGTTGGGATGGGGTGGTGGGTCCCTGAGGGCTGAGCTGGCCCTGGTTGCTGGGGTGGATTTGTGGTCCCTCCCCTGTGGGCTTCCTGCACCTTCTGGGTCACCTTCACTTTCTCCCCACACTGGCCCATGGCTCCAACCCTGCAAGCTCCCCTCCCCTTGGACGTTAGTTCCTGGAAGACCCTGTGGCTCCTCCTGTTTCCAGCTCTAGAACAAAGGTGCTGGGGGCAGAGCTGTTCCCACCCTACACTACCCCCTGCCCCTCAGCCTTCCCTGAGGCCATGGACCGGCCAGCAGAGGGCATACCCAGCAGCCACCCTGGAGGAGACTTGCAGGGGAGGCAGCCAGGGCCTTGGGGAAGTTGGGCTCAGACAGCATGGGTCACAGCCGCTCTAGGTCTGCTTCACCTGCCACCTCCTGACTCTTCTTTTGACTAAGACTTAACCTCAAATCTCTAGGTCTTGGCACCACTAAATCGTTACAAAGTCTTCCTTTGTTTCTAAGTTTGCTCTCTCCCAGACCTAATGCCTGACTCTTGGTGGTGGAACCCACTCCAGGGCCCTGGGACCTAAAGCCAGTCCCTCCTTCTCAGGCCAGGCGACTCCCCAGCTCTGATCCTGGGAGTTCAGTGTCCCTCGGCCCCACCATCATTAGAGGGACGCTCTTTTAAGTTTAAAAGGATGTAGGAGTAAAATATGATCCTTGTGGCCCAGCTTCTCCCTGTGGGGCTACCAGCCACCGCCCTCACCCTCCAGCCTCATCCAGCCTCTTCTCCGGACTGATGCTGGAGCTGCTCCTCCTCAGTTCTCCCTTTTCTCCTTCCCTTTTACCCCAAGCAGCACTAAGTGAGGTCCTGTCCTTTAATCCTTCATTACCAAGATTCCTATTCCCAAGTCAGTGACCTTTTTCCTGACCCTTGACCCTTACCCCAACCCTGCCTCCTAAACACATCCTGTGGGGTCACCTCTGAAGGTGAGGATAACCTGATTCTCGTGATGGGCAACAGTGATCATCTAATGCCATGTTCAAACCCTGAGGCCACCCCGTCCCTCCCATCCCCACCCCACCC